TCAAGATTCTCTTATTTACTCAAAAAGTAGCCCTAACCAGGGCTTTTTTTTGTCATAGAACGCCCAGAACGGAGTTCCGGCATCTTTTTTGGACGGAACCTTGTAGGGTATCAAGGCGGGTTGTATGACGTGTGTGAGTTCCGGCACCTTTTTTTAAATTTATTTACAAAAAAACCACTGGCCCTAACGATACCTTATAACAGTGGTGGCGAACCTATGGCATGGGTGCCAGAGGCAGCACTCAGAGCCCTCTCTGTGGGCATGCGCGCCGTCGCCTCAGTCGTAGGCCTTCAGCTGGGTTTTATAAAACCTTTTCGCTTTAGGCCTCCACCGCTGTGTGCAAAAAAAAAAAGGTTCAATCAGTCAATTTCAACTTCTCGCGGGGAAAAAAAAGATCTTGCAAAGTTGGAATTGATTGATTGAACTTTTTAGTCCCACCCAGACTGCCGTTACCACCGCAGCCACACCCACCCAATGGGCCACACCCACCCAATGGGCCACACCCACCCAGCACCCGACGATGCATAAGTGGGTTTGGGGTTGCAGTTTGGGCACTCGGTCTCTAAAAGGTTCGCCATCACTGCCTTATAAAGTCCCAGGTTCCCCGCAATCACTCACAGATAGTGTCAAAGATCAGTTGGAGCTTAATTTGCTCTTCTCATCAGTGCTTAATATACTTGCTTTTTATAATGGGACTGTGGAACTTCGGAGGGGGGTGGGAGAAAGCTGGCTGGATGTATAATAAATGATAAATTTACACGCTCTTCTTTTCAACATTTCAAAGCGTGCCTCAGTTCTATTGAGGGGGCATCTCTTTCTGCAGTAATGATAACATTACAAATAGCCTTGAATGGATAACTTTAGCAAAGCGTTGCATCCATAAGGACCTCTGCACTCTAGAAAGATTGCAGAGAAGAGCAACAAAGGTGATTAGGGGACTGGAGGCTAAAACATATGAAGGACAGTTGCAAGAATTGAGTATGTCTAGTCTAGTGAAAAGAAGGATTAGGGGTGACACGATAACAGTCTTCCAATATTTGAGGGGCTGCCACAAGGAAGAGAGAGTCAACCTATTCTCCAAAGTCCCAAAGGCACCTTTGGGATAAGCATGACCTGGATGGTTGAGAATCTCCATAGACTTCTATTCTCCAGTGTCCTTGAAGGTAAGACAAGAAGCAATGGATGGAAACTAATCAAGGAGAGGACTAACTTAGAACTAAGGAGGAATTTCCTGACAGTGAGAACAATTAACCATTGGAACAGCTTGCCTCCAGAAGTTGTGGGTGCTCCATCACTGAAGATTTTAAATAATTTTTTTAAAAAATATTTTAAAGAAGGGATTGGACAGCCATTTGTCTGAAATGGTATAGGGCAGGGATAGGCAACCTTGGCTCTTTTATGATTCGTGGACTTCAACTCCCAGAATTCCTGAGCCAGCATAGCTCAGCTTGGAAACCTCTCCCTTTCCCCTCAGCATGGCTGGCTCAGGAATTCTGGGAGTTGAAGTCCACGAGTCATAAAAGAGCCAAGGTTGCCTACCCCCCCGGTATAAGGTCTCATGCTTGATCAGCGGGTTGGACTAGAAGACCTCCAAGGTCCCTTCCAGCTCTATTCTATTCTTCGATATTCAACCATGGTTTCTATAAAATTTTTAGAGATGTACTATATGGACATCAACTCCCAGAATTCTCCACCAGCATGGTCATTGCTAAGAACGGTGGAAATTCAAATCCACGGCACGGCTTCTCATGGTGAGTCTGGTTACTAAAAGTCAAGCTCTGGGAAGCACTCATGTCAGTTTTTGAAGGACCAGATGGGTCTGCTTCCCTTGTGGTGAAAATGAGGAAATATCTTAAAAGTAAATAATGAGTAATGTTGCAAAGACGAGGGATAGTGGAATACTTATTCCTGCCGCTCTAATCTTTCCTCTTCCTCCTCTTCTCCTCCTTCATCCCACCCCCTTGTTTTTCCAGTCAATCTTGGTCTTACTGCAACAGCCGGTATCATTGGAGGCCTCCTCTTAATAGGAAGTTGGTGGCGATTTGGTCTTGTGATCCCGTGTATGCTAATTGTAGGAGTAGTGTTGGGGTTTCTTGTGTCCTCTTCATTTTTCTTCACTCCAATAGGTAAGCGATAGAAACATTTCCGCGATACTCACTTAAATTTGAACATCTAAGAAGCATTCTTCATTGAGAAACAAATTGACAAGGCATCCATATAATGATAGTGGCTCATGAACGGACCTCATGCTTTAAAATAATTTGCAATTTTTTTTAAAAAAAAAGTTCTATTTGTAATGGTAGTAATTAAACACTTGTATAAAATGTATCCAATTGGAGAAATCTGTGATTTTTTTTAAAAAAATGAACTAGTTATAACCTAGAATAGGGTAAAAGAAATGGAAGAAGAACTAGTTATAACCTAGAATAAGAAGAATTAATTATAACCTAGAATAGGCGAAAAGAAAATGGAAGAAGAACTAGTATAACCTAGAATAGGCGAAAAGAAAATGGAAGAAGAATTAGTTATAACCTAGAACAGGCGAAAAGAAAATGGAGGAATTAGTTATAACCTAGAATAGGCGAAAAGAAAATGGAAGAAGAACTAGTTATAACCTAGAATAGGCAAAAATAAAATGGAAGAACTAGTTAAAACCTAGAATAGGTGAAAAGAAAATGGAAGAACTAGTTATAACCTAGAATAGGCAAAAATAAAATGGAAGAACAACTAGTTATAACCTAGAATAGGCAAAAATAAAATGGAAGAACTAGTTAAAACCTAGAATAGGGGAAAGGAAAATGGAAGAAGAACTAGTTATAACCTAGAATAGGCAAAAATAAAATGGAAGAAGAAGAACTAGTTATAACCTAGAATAGGCTAAAAAGAAAACTGGCCTAATTCAGGTAGTCCTCAACTTACAACAGTTCATTTAGTGATCGTTCAAAGTTACAATGGCATTGAAAAAAGTGAGTTATGACCATTTTCGTAACTTTGCAGTTATCCTCATGATCATGTGATTAAATTCAGTTGCTTGGCAACTGGTTCACATTTATGACGATCGCAGTGTCTTGGGTTGTCATGTAACCCCCTTTTGTGATCTGACAAGCAAAGTCAGCGGGGAAACCCGATTCATTTAACAACCGTGATACTAACTGGTGATTCACTTAACAATTGTGGCAAGAAAGGTCATCAAATGGGGCAAAGCTCACTTAACAAATGTCTCACTTACCAACAGAAATTTTGGGCTCCATTGTGATTGTAAGTCGAGGACTGCCTGTATCTTTGTTATTTGATGTTTGTACATAAATGGTGCATTCAAAATAAGATGAAATAACTTACTCTTATGTATTATATATAATTTTCCAGGCTTGCAAATTTGAGTTGTTTTACACTCTGCGTGGCACTGAAAAAGTAACTTACAAGCAGTCCTCGCACTTATGACTGTTGCAGCATCCCCAGTCACGTGATCAGAATTTGGTTCCATCGCTTAATGACTGCAATGATTTGGTTAGCTATGTTAAAAAGATTGTAAAATTGGGGCGTGAGTCATTGAACAATCCCTTTGCTTAGCGATGAAAATTCTGCCAAAATCTCCACTCCTGAGTCATTTTTTAAGTGCAAGTCAGCTGTCCTTGAAGCAAAATTATGAAATTTCTAACACACACACACACACACACGAGTCTTTTCTTTAGGGAGGAAACTTCCTAGGTTGATCTTCCTGTTAGAATTTGACAAAGTGGCAGTTGTGGACAGAGGCAAGAAGCTGTGTCACAATTCTGTGTTCATTGTTCCAGGAGACTACAGAATTTTTCAAGACGATGCTGTTTACTGGGTCTCTTTCTGTTGTGTCGCCTTGGTGATTCCAGTAATTTTTGTCTGCTGCCCCAGAGTTGTAAGTATTTCTTGCAGCTGAACATGAATTTCAATTTTCCTAGGCTGGGAGGGGAAGCCGATGCCACAACCGAATTATCTTCAGCAAACTTCGGCCTTGTGATTTACAACTCTGGCCGTTAACTTTTCATAAAAAGGCCATCATCCAGGAAGGCTATATTCAAGATGGGAGGATGGCTGAGGTTGGTCTATTGTTATGTCCCAAATGGGGAAATATATATATATATATACACACACACACACAGTAGTGGCCAAAATTGTGGAAACCTTTTGGGAAAAGTGTACAGTAGAAATGCCACCTTTGGTTAAGTTTCCACCCATTTTTCTTCTAATTTCTTTACAACTGTAGCCTTGTTCACTTAATAATACTATTTTACATCGCTTTCTGGGCGACCAGTCAACTCTTTGCACCATGACTTTAATTTTATTACGTTTTACAAACTCACTAAATGAAAGAACACAAAAAAAACCAACCAACTTGATAGCGATCACATCACACACTGACAAATGTCCTCCTTTCAGCTTCAATACATGACATCAATCACTGAATCCTCCTGTGATCTGATTGGCTCATTGCCAAAGCAAGATGACACCTGATTGGCTCTCTAAACACTCATGCTCATTGGCTACAATCAGATGAAGGAAAGCTACCTGAGATCAACCTGAGCAAGTTGTGCTTCCTTTTTCTGGTTATTTGGCTATAACGTTTCATAGAATACAGTACAGATAATTGAACAAACTTTGTTGCATTACATTCTCGATTAAATTATCTTTCCATTGATATATAATTTTATGGTACTACTCCAAAAACAAAGTGGTGTTATTAGCCGTCAAACCTCAAAAATACACTTTTTCCAAAAGGTTTCCACAATTTTGGCCACTACTGTATATCTGAGATATATGAGAGATCCACCAAATTACAGGTAGTCCTCAGTTTACAACAGTTCATTTAGTGACCGTTCAAAGTTAACAACGGCACTGAAAAAAGCCACTTATGACCATTTTTCACATTTACAACCGTTGCAGCATAACAGGACATACTTTGAATGGCTTTCCTTCCATAGAGTAGTGTCGCCAATCCCAAAGGCATGTTGTGTTCTTCCTCTTAGCTCAACATTTTGACATGCGGCTTTGTTGGTTCCTACACGGTAGTGTTGGCTACAGCATGTTACATCTACACCAGCCTCTCTTACATTGGCATAGATCTACTCTGGAGGATTCTGAACGAAGACTTCAAGAGAGCTTACACCAGTGTGCCCTTCCAACCTAATGGTAAGTTTTGAGATAGCAACAGCACTTAGACTTATATACCGCTTCACAGCCCTTCACAGAGTTAGCATGTTGCCCCCAACAATCTGGGTCCTCATTTTACCGATCTCGGAAGGATGGAAGGGGGTCAACCTTGAGCCGGTCAGGATCAAACTGCTGGCAGCCGGCAGTCAGCAGAAGTACCCTGAAGTACTGCATTCTGACCACTGCGCCACCACAGAGGTGGGTGAGGTTGGGTGCTTGGTGGGTCAAACTCACCAATAAGAGCATCTGCAGCAAGTCTATGGCACCTCTTCCTCTAAAAACATTTTCAAGACCATGGAGAACCAATGGAAGTTGAGGGGAAATAATGGATGCAGTGAAGATGGACTTAGCTTGAACTGTTTTGAAGTCTATGGAGATTCTCAGTCATCCAGGTCATGGTTGTCTATTTGTCTACTTCAGGGGTCTTCAAACTTGGCCCTTTTGACTTGTGGACTTCAACTCCCAGAATTCCTCAGCCAGGCATGCTGGCTGAGGAATTCTGGGAGTTGAAGTCCACCAGTCATCAAAGGGCCAAATTTGAAGACCCCTCCCAGAATTCCTCAGCCAGGCACACCAGCTGAGGAATTCTGGGCATTGAAATCCACCAGTCATAAAAGGGCCAAGTTTGAAGACCCCTGGTCTATTTGTTAATTCAGATTTGTTTGAAGCCTTCAAAACAGTTGTCCCAAAGGTGTTTTTTCCCCCCCAAAAAAAGCAACTGGACTCTCTTTGTTTTTTTCTTGAACACGTTTCGCTTCTCATCCAGAACTGAAAAAGCTTCAGCTGTTTTGAAGGCTTCAAGTAAACCTGAATAAACAAATAGACCTTTGGACATAAAGAAAAGGGGAGGTGAAAACATTCTAACCGTACGGCTTCCTCTTGTAGATATTATCCTCCTGTCCGTTTGGAGTATGCTAGCCATCGGAGGAATAACCATTCAGTTGCGCCGAGAAAGACACGAGGCTCCTTTCCCACCACACCCGTATCGGATGTGGAAGCGTGAGAGAGAGCGCAGGGTCACCAACATCTTGGATCCGAGCCATCACGTCCCTCCCTTGAGAGAGAGGATCCACAATAAGCTGTCCCAGATCAAGGATGTCTTTCAGAAAGAGCAGACGGCAGGCGAAAGAACACCGCTACTCTTTTAAACTGATTCACGGATGGAAAGACTTGAGAAGCGTGGATGGACATTTTTGGGATGGGGCACGGAAGCCAAGGACTTTCTCGGTGGCCTTTTCCACGTCCGCCGAACTGGAGAAGAATCCACAGTTGTCCAAGACAAATCTACTCGTATTTGTTTTCAAGCGCCCAGGAACGTTTTGTCTGTAATTTTAATCTTTGATAGAAAAATGTGTAAAGTTATTGGGGCAGGAAGGGTAGAATAGAAAGGTAGATGAATCAGCGGAGTGTGCAACTTTAAAACCTCGGAGCCCTAAGACAGAAAATGGTAATTTCAGATTCATGGACCCTCAACAGTCCAAAAAAGGCATCCCCCTTTTAGGGGAAATTTACCTTCTGAACAGGATGTGCAAAATGTTGGGGGGGGAAAAAATACTAATTGTGGCCTTTGTATTTTTAGGTATTGAAACAAGTTGGTTGATCAGTGCTAGTAAACAACAGGTTGAAATTGTCAAGCGGCACTGAAATTTGAATTTTCTTGGCTTGTGTTTGCTAGCTGTGTGTGACAAACAAAACATTTTGACTTTGAAATATGGAAGAGAGGGTGGATTTTCTCAAATCCTGTAAACAGAATTCTCCCTTATTATTTTTTTTAAAGCCTAGAAAAGTGAATGATTTCTGAAACTGAGAAATTTTTTTTAAAGAAAGGAGAAGCATGTAATATATCTAATGAGATTTAACAGTAGTTTTCAGATTGGGCTGCTGTTTCTTATTAATGAGCCCCAAAATATTTTTTTTTCCTAATATTTTTATAAGATAAAAAAAATAGTATGTAGAAGCATCTTTGATACTTCGGTTGAGAAAATGTAAACGGAAAAAAAAAGGCCTATGAAGTCAATTTATTTCTTACAATAAGCAGAAGGCATCGGGCAACTTGCTGTACAAGGAGCAAGATTGTCTTAAATCAAGATTTAATGTGCATTTTCTCATCTCCCGTGGTTTATATTCAGCCTTAGGGAACCAGGTTCTTTTCAAATTGAGCTGAGTTATGCAAATCCAAACCCCAAATTTCTAATTATATTACCCTGACTAATTTGAACAGCTATTCATAGATTATTTCACAAGGAATGATCCAGGGCAAGACAACTGTTCGTTTTTAATTTATTATGGAGAGAAAAAAAACTCCATGTAAATGATGTTAGTTATATTCTGAGCCTGCTCAGTCGTGGACATCTATTGAGAAATCCCTTTTTTAATTGGGATTTTGTGATGTTTCTAAACTGTGGAACTAAGTTCCTGAAATTTCTGAAGGTATGTAGCTTAATTTTTTCCCCCTCAGATAAAGCTTTCCTTCCCCCCCCCAGTTGTAAAAGCTATTCTTATAAGTTGATTCAGTGTAGGGGAGCCCCAGGTTTGCAGATTTAATGGTAGCCTTTAAATGTTTTTCCCCCTAGTGTAGACAGGCAGTGTTTACTCATCTCTTTTCAGTTTTAAAACTGTTGCATTGGTTGTTTCTTGGGCTACTTGCCTCATGTTGGAACTCCACATAATTGGGAACGGGAATTGGAAGATAAGTGTCTAAAATGGGTTGAATAGCACAAATTGCGGTGATTTTTCCATCCAGCCAAGATATTTTCTTCTCAAGTGAGAAAATAGTGCCTAACCAAACCAGTTATATCTCCCATTTAAGAGAAATGTGATATGCCTTCTATTTTCTTGGTGCAGAAAAGCAGCAATTTATTGCTTTGCTAACTCACCCCTTTGCGTCCACATATGCTGCAGAACAGATTGTGCCGTTGCTGTTTTGCAGGTGTCAGATAGCTCTGGAAAAAAAAACAACCGGGTTGTCTAAAGTTGTGTCTCTCTGCTGCTTTACGGTCTGAAACAGTCAAACAGATGGCAGCAATGGGTTGGATGTTTTTGAAGATCTTCTAAAGCCATTCTTGTGTTTTGACCTTCAAAAAGTATAAACCTGAAATAATTTTAAGTGCAGGAAAGTTGGGTTAGGAGGCAGCAGATTTGATAAGGGTGTACAGTTGCAATTTGTAGTAGCTGTTCATAGGTCAGTTGCGTTTTAAGGTTGAAAAAGTGAAGGTAATCAACATGCCTCCAGCAGTTTCATATTGCTGACTACTTTTTAGTGCCGAGATGAATTGCCACGTCTTGAGGGCATGACACTCAGGAACCAATTAGCTGTGAGTTTTTAACGTGCTGTAATTGACAATGCAACCAACAAAACAGTCACCCAATCCCTTTTTATAATAAACATAAGTTTAAAATGGAAGTGAGAGTGGAGTGGTTTTTTCCCCCCACAGTACTATCCCTATCTTGCCTTTCATCTAAAGCAAGGATCCCCAACATTGGCAACTTTTAAGATTTGTGGACTTCAACTCCTGCTGGCTGGGGAATTCTGGGAATTGAAATCCACAAATCTTAAAAGTTGCCAAGGTTGGGGACCCCTGATCTAAAGAGCCTTAATATTTTCCAGTCCAGAAAAAGAGCCAAGTGTTCAAAGCCACCTTGATATTCCAAAGGAACTACAGAAATAAAGTGATTATTTGACTTATTTGGGCTTTTGTTTAGGAATAACTGCCATAGTAGGACCAAATGTATAAATGGGCTCTAACTGGCATCAGGTTTCTTAATTCACCTACAATGGTCACCCCGCTGCGTGCTGCTCTTTCTACTTTGTGCACTAAGCAGGCTTGTAGTAAAAGTACAAGAGATGGTTCTGGTTATCTTGCCTAGCCTCCCAAAAGCCAGACTTCATCTCCTCCTACCAAACGTCCAAGAACATTTCTACAACTAATGGCGACCCTTGAATGTGAAGACTAAACCAGCCAGGCTCTTGAGTGTGTTTCCTGACTGATAAACCAGACACCACAGAAGATTCAGGGTTAAATTTCGTAAGGCCAGGGTGAGGCCAAGACAAAGATTCACCAACAGGCCCAACCCTGGATCTCAAGGTCTTCTATCAACAGATGAAGGTGAAAGACTTAGGTTGGTCCGCATTTTTTGCTGCTGAATTTCAAGAAGGCTCCATAAGGCTGGAAAATTATAGGTAAGGGTTTTATGTTAACATTTGAGCTCGGGAAGGGTGGTGCTAGGCCAGTGGTTCTCAACCTTTTTAATGCCGCGACCCCAACCGGTCGTAAGTCGAGGACTAAACCAGTCGTAAGTCAAGGACTAAACCGGTCGTAAGTCGAGGACTAAACCGGTCGTAAGTCGAGGACTACCCAACCGGTCGTAAGTCGAGGACTTTCGCTGCCCGGGAGCGCCGTGCATGCGTGGTTCCGCTCCCTGCGCCGGCCGAGGCGTAGCTGGCAAGCGGCAGAGACGGAGCAGGCCGACCACCAGCTGGCCCAGCCCAAGGGAGGTAAGGCACCCGCCGGAAAAGGGGGAAAAAATGGACAAAAAAAATGGCGGACAGCCTTGGTTGGCGACCCCCGTGAAATGGTCGATCGACCCCAAATGGGGTCCCGACCCACAGGTTGAGAACCACTGTGCTAGGCGAATAGAAGCAAAAGTTGAAATCCACCTTAATTGTGAGATTTCTTATCTTTAGAAAAAAGGCAAGCACACATGTTCGTGAGAACAATATCCTTTGCTGCTGCTGAATTGCTTTAATTAGGGGATCACTACCAAAAAGGTATTTACACACAAAAAGGTATTTGGGAATGGTTAAGAGTAGATTAACCAGGAATTGTAAATTAGGGATCCTTGGTGTTCTCTGAGCTTGGTTGTTTTCTTGCAGTTTCATTATGGCAAATAGGTAACATCATCAGTGATCACGTTACCCAGTTTGAGTAATGAAACATCTGCCAAAAAAAAATCCCCAAAAAACCAAACAAAACCCAAGCCAGAGAACAAGGACCCTTCATTTTAACCCTGAGCTACATTGTTTGAAAAGCTGTATGCCAGACATGTCAAACTCACGACGTCATGTGACATCACGTGACGTATCGGAACTTTTTCCCCATTGCTAGCAATGGGGTGGGCACAGTTTCCTCATGATGCATCCGGGCCCGTGGGCTGCCAGTTTGACACCCCTGCTGTATGCAATTATGGGTGAAGGAATCTGATAGTCCCTTTGTGGACTTTTCTGTTATGCAAATTTTTCTACCTATACTTAGATTGAAAATCAGCTGTAATTGGCTTTGATTTATCCCTTTATCTTCCACGGGTTCGTAACAGCTTGCATTAGTTTCTTGCAGTTCAATCCAATGTAACACCGCTGCTGCGCGAGCTGCACTGGCTGCCAGTGGCCTTCCGGGTACGCTTTAAGGTGCTAGTCACCACCTTTAAAGCGCTCCATGGCATCGGTCCTGGCTATCTCCGAGACCGCCTTCTGCCGCAGATTCCCTCCCACAGGCCGGTACGCTCCCACAGAGCGGGCCTCCTCAGGGTGCCGTCGGCCAAGCA